GCAAGTCTTATGCTCCCAGTACTTCTGTTAGTCTCAAAGGTGCCACAGGACCCTCTGTTGCTTTTTACTAGTTTAAACGTGACTCATGACCCATGCTGCAGAGGAAGGCGAAACCCCCCCTGGGTCTTGGCCAATCTGACCCAGGGAGAAATTCCTTCCCAACCCCAAATATGGCGATCAGTTAGACCCTATCACTAATCCAGTGCTGAATGTCACCAGTTCTGCTCCTCTTACCAGTACAAGGGTCCACACTTGGGGAGTAAAGAGGAATCAATACTCCAACAGGCTGTTTCTTGAATGAGAAATGGCAACTGTCTGAAGCTGTTGAGAAGTTTTAAAATAGGCCTAGGGGGCAAGGATTAGTGTTTAGAGTACAGGTGAGACTTGGGGCAAAGGTGAATGACAACATGCAATGTATCACCTGTTCAGCAGCACCAAATATGTGGTGTTTGCATAAAAGAGTTTGGTATGTAAGACTTGCTGATTGCCTGTTTTGAAGTTTACATTTCCTTTTGAGTACTGGAGCCCAGACAAGTACCATAAGCTGTTATAATTCTGTTGTCTGACGAACCTGTATCTAAAAAGGTGGAACTAATTTCTGTTATAGTTGAAGACCAATCCCATGTCCTTATTTAGGCAAAACTTCTGTTAAGAAAGGAATGCAGGATTTACCCTCATTTCCTATGTGGAAATTTAGATCCCAATTCAGCAAGTCACTTAAGCACATGCCTAACTTTAAGCCACCGACATCAATTGGGCTACTTAGTTAGACACATGCTTAAAGACCTTCCTGACTTTGGGCCTTGGCGGTGAACTAAAAGACACTGAAAATAGGTATTTAAAATGGAAGTGTTCACAAGTTAATCCTGGTGGTGTGAATGGAACTGCTAATGTTAAACTTGAACTGGAATAGACTGTGTATCTGTGTTTTGAAGCATCTGTTCGAATTTAAGCATATAAAACATTTTTCAGTCCAATGATTCCATAGGGAAATGCCTCAAACATCAGCTCAGCTGACTCAAAGTTTTCATTGCATTTCCCTTAATACAGCTATGACCATAAATACACCATTCATTATTTCAAATATATCTTCTTATTTATAGAGTTAAAAAAGAAGCTTCTAATTCATTTTATCACATAAATCCTGAGATGTTAATTTAAACATCACCACTACTTAAAAAATATCTACTAGCCCATAGTCCAACATGTTTTATAGCTAGCCTTTAACTAAGCAATATACATTTTCAGCAGGTAAAATGCAGTTGGTCTTTTTACTACTGTGCAATGGTAAGTATTGTAGCTTGCTGCAGAAAAGCTCTGAACTTTAAATTACACACATAATCCTCCCTCCAAAAAGTTTTACTTCTGAAAATATCACTTCATTAGAATGTCGCTGTGCTCTGTTACCAAAACACACTTGGCAGCATGGTAATTTAAAATAGTTCATAAAGACTTTGTGGCCCTTTGCCCTTATTTTTCATTTTGTGATTAAATTTAGAGTATTTGCAATAGCTGATTTCATGATTCATTTAATTTGTTTTCTGAACCTCAAAAGCCTTCTGAAAGTCTAAAGGACAAACTCTCACCTAGAGCCACATGTTCTCTAGCCCCCACCCAGAACACACAAACACACACCACAACTTAGCAAAACCTGTGCAAGAATTCAATCCTTATCAGCCATACACAGTCTTTGTCTAAGAAAGAATTCCTCTTCATAAGTTTTGAAAAGTTGGATTGGTTTGAAACACAGCGAAAACCATCTTAAAAGACCACTCACAAGACTGACAGAAACGGGTGGCTTAGCAGAAGTAGGTCTAATATCAAAACTGTACTCAACATGTTTGGAATATTTGATGGTCTCTTAAAACAGATTTCTCTATAATCAAATCAAAAACAACTTCTCAAACCTATAAAAAGTAGTTCATTGTTGGACCAAGACTTTGCATGTGACATTTCAATTCAGAGCAAAATGTTACAGTCAAATTACAGCTACTCAAATATAAAAGATACTGAAAACTGAAAAAAATTCCTTTCACAGGAGTTGTAGATATATTTGTAAAAGACACCTTCCTAAACTTGATGTAATTCAGCCAAAAGACTCTAAAATGGTGATCAGTCTGAATGTAGAGCTGACTTGGTTCATGAACAGCACCTGAACCTTTCCTCTGCCTCCTGCATACCCTTGATTGAGAACCACTGCTTTAGAGCCTTTAGCACTCAATTCCAAGTACTGTCAGGGTGCTTTACAACTACTAGGCCATAGCTGGCTTAAACCCATTCTGATCTGCCCAAGCAAAACTTGCTGCTAGTGATGTTTCAAAGTCTTAAAACAGCTGCTAGCATATTTATATCCTTCTTCATCTCCTCCGCCCCCCCCCCCCACCCACACACCCATCCTTGCAACTGGACCACAGAATATATAGCTCTCATGGGTACAGCATATGGTTTCATTACAAGGAAACAAACAAACAAAAGTTGACCACCCCAAATCTACACCTCCTGGCCAGCCCCATATGTGCTGTACTGCATACAGAAATACAACTTTTTCCAGCTTGCATTTTAAATTACTCCACTAAGCTTTATAGAAGTCAGATCAAATACCTACCTCAGTTCAATGAATTTTGGGGAGAACAGGACAGACTGTACGTACACCAGTCCTTCAGGACCTCAGAGCAGAGCGTACGCAGCTGTGTACTTCCACATTTCCTGTCTAGGCACACAGAGAAGTCAGACGGCGCCTCTGTCGCTAAACCCAGGTTGGGAACAGTCTCTTCTCTTCTTAGCCCAGGAGTTCTCAAACTGGGGGTTGGGACCCCCTCAGGGGGTCACGAGGTTATTACGTGGGGGGTCGTGAGCTGTCAGCCTCCACCCCAAACCCCGATTTGCCTCCAGCATTTATAATGGTGTTAAATATATAAAAAGTGGTTTTAATTTGTAAGGGGGAGGGTCACACTCAGAGGTTTGCTATGTGAAATGGGTCACCAGTACAAATGTTTGAGAACCACTGTCTTAGCCTATCACCATTTTAACAGTTTTACGTAAATGTAGTAAGATAAGGTGATTTAAGGTAGCTATTTGCAACCTCATTTTGGTGCTGTTGGTAGAATTTAAAATTTGGGGCCAAAAGGTCATGAGATCAAGTTCCCACACTGGGATTTGTACTTGCACCAAATGCTTGCAGGCTATTTTGGAAGGCAGAGGTGGGGATGGGGAGAAACAGTATAGATGTGCTTGTAGAAGTGCATCCTTAAATGAAAGCGTATTAAAGGTCCATCTGCTTATCGCTGTCCCGATGGAAATTATAGACTCCTTGGTACATCTTGAAACCAAGAGAAAGTAACCCTGTGATTTGGGGCCAATATTCTCTATCAAGCAAAAAAGCAAGTGCTAATGCTGAAGGCTGTGTTAACATTATCCAATCCTTACACTACCAGTTTATAACCTATTCCCTCCAATGTCAAAACATATATAAGTAAGTAAATTTTGTTCTACTTAGAAAAGGAAGAGATTGCATTACAACTAATTCAGAGATCTTCAAGGCTTAAAGTCTATATGCCCATAATCTGATATTTATTTGGCATATGCACTGCTAGTTGGATTGTCTGTTTCCCCAGACCACAGACAAGCTGCAACTGGGTACTTATGGGGGACACGTCCTGAGCACCAATCCATTGTTCCCCCATAATCTGATACAAATACTTAATGCTAACACAGAAGTTTCACCTCCCATGATGGCCAAACATCCCATTTAGTTTCAAAAAGAATATCTAAAATCCTTTTTCATCTATAAAACTGTAGCTTTGCCCAACAAAAACAGCCCACATCTATGGAATAGCTACTTGGAAAGATTTACAGTCTTGGTTCTTAGTAAAAAAACAGCTCTGATAACAAAAGACATTTCACAATTAAATTTTCTAGACTCCTGCACTTTTTGGCTCAGGAATATATACACATTTAGTCTTAATGTGCATCAGCTGCTTAGGTTTTCCATGCAATCCTTTCTGTCTGCTCACTAAGCAAGCCTTTTTCACATTTAAAACCTAAGGGAAAGATTTTCAAATGGCAGTTAGGCACTTAATTCCTATTGATTTTTACCGAGTTAGGTGCCTTTGAAAATCTTCCCCTAAATCTAGTATACGTTACTCCCTGCAACGTCCAATTTTTTTGTAAATTTTAATAGTTAATTTGTAATGGCCCAGAGAATTAATTTGGTAAAATAACCTCTAAATTGTTGACAATTCAAATGATCAAGTTACATCAACAACAGCTAAGTAGGGCTCTTTGCTTCACTTTGAAAGTTTTCAAACTAGAAAAACGATTGTAGTATTGTATCTGGCCCACACTCATCAGCTAAGGTTACTTTTAAAACTTCCTTTTAAATAATAATTATGAAGAACAAATTCAAAACAGCAAATTCCAGCCTGCCTTTTGAACTCTGCTCCAAAGAGCATGATCTATAAAAATAGCTTTGACAGGGCTGATTTCACTAGACACATATTGTTAGAGCTTCCCTTTTACCTCTGTGATCACGAGATTGTTGAAATTGCAGCACACTTGAAACCAAAATTTCACAAAGTAAGAAAAGCGGATTGGATTTTTTAACCGAAAGAGAGGGGAAAGACAGAAGCAGCACAGAATTATTGCTAAAATTTACTCACATGGTTCACTGGTTCCTAGTGGAAAAAATATTAGACTCAATGCGAGGAGACGTCAAGTGTTGTACCAAAAGGACAAAGACAAGATACTCAAAATTATATTGTTGAATGTGTAGAAATAATAATCTGTGAGCATCTATTTCAGCTAGGGTGAATCTTAAAGTGCTCTTGAAAAAAAATATTGACAGAAGAAGCTGAAACACAAGAAAGTCATTTTCCAACACTGTTATTGTTTGAAAACCTCCTAGCACAGCCCCCTTCCTCCTCCCCCTATATTGTGCAGACAAATTGCAATGCAAGTCAGAACAACTCCAGGGGGATACCATGGGTTTTCCTCTCATACTGGAGCCTGAAAACCTTTATGACAATAATCTGTAATGATGAGAAAAGCGAACTCCAGTCTCTTTCTAGCTCTATCCTCTCCTAGCCAATTATTTCAGCAAAGTAGTTCAGGCAATAATATTTCATTAATCTTTTCCCTCCCCTCTAATTATAGCAGATATCTCAGACTCCATGTGTGCAGGCATAGCTACTGGGAAGCAAAATGCAACCATGACAGAGACACTGAAACAAAGCTGTTGAAAAAAATAATGCCTATCACCAAACCATGCCAACCCACCACCACCACCACACCACACCCTAACAAATTCAACCCTCACCCAAAAGCACAATCTCTTTGTAACTGCAGGTGGCTTGATAGGTTTCGTTTAAGCACAACCCCTCCTCCACAATTCAAATAAGAATTTAAATTATAAACATTTTTATTATCCTAAAAGCAGCCAAAACAAAAAAAGAAACCAAAACAAACTTGCTCTCACTTCACCTGGTCTCACTGGGGCTTGAGCGTGAAAGCAAAAGGGGAACAGGATCCTCGCTGAATGGACTGAATGGAACCCCAGAAAATAATGGGGAGTACCCAGAAGGAAAAACTGTTTTCCTAATGAGATGGCTTGCTCCATCATCACAAGAGTTTCCCCTCTATACTTCTGCCACGCTCAGTCTGGATACACTAACTCCAGCTTGGCTCTCTACTGCTCTCAGAAAGTTCTTCCAAATTTGCTACTTTGGCTATGTCTACACAACGCCGCTTTTAGCGACGGGGTTATGTCGCTACAGCCGTGTCACTAAAAGGAGCGCGGGGTAGTTGCTGTTTGTCGGCTCTCCTGCCGACAAAAAACTTCCACCGCCAACGAGCGGTGTTAGCGTTGTCAAAAAAGAGCTTTGACAAAAGAGCTTTTCACACCGCTGCTTGTCGTCCGCAAAACTTTTGTCTTTCGGGAGTGTGTGTGTGTTTTAACACCCCTATAAGACAAAAGTTTTGTCGTTCCGTTGCCGGTGTACATTCCTTCCCCCTCTTTTGCATTAACTAGCTGAAGACTGTTCGTAGCCCTACACTTTATCTATAACCCTCTTTTGTTATAGGATTCATAATAAATGCTCTAAAAGGGTTTTGAAATTTGTTGGATTTGGGTATTTTCCAAACTATACACGTTTATAAGAGACAAGAGGGTCCCCTCTTTTCCCTCCCTCTCTTCAGTCCTCTCTCTGACAAGGGCCAACTCCCTGCATGAAGCTCATCCGTATGATCAGCAGGGTATTTACTTGCCATACAGGGCCCTACCCCTGCCCATCACCTGGGGGTCTCTGTCCTTCCTGTAACTGCAGTGACGGTACTAGCCCACTGGGGGGCCTAAACAGGAATATTCTCTTCCCCCCAATAAAACACACACTAATCATTAATGGGGAGGGCAAGTAATTGCCTGGTCTGCTTATGCCCAGCACTGGCTCTGCTGAGCTGCAGCCCCACAGGACCCGGGCGACCGGGGAACCGCGGGGAAGTTCAATGCTTCAAAACTCACAGGACGGAGGCAGCTTGTAAACCACCCTGAGTCCCTGACACACACTTGATGTCCACTGCCCCCCAACCCTGCCAGCCCCAGTACCCCCAACCATCTGCCAGCCCCACTGCCCCCACTACCCCCCACCAACCCCCACTGCCCCCCAACCCTGCCAGCCCCACTGCTCCTCAACCAGCCCCACTGCCCCCACTACCCCCCACCAACCCCCACTGCCCCCCAACCCTGCCAGCCCCACTGCTCCTCAACCAGCCCCACTGCCCCCACTACCCCCCACCAAC